TTATTTTAGCCTCCAGTCAACAGGACTCTACTAATGATGTTTCAGTTATTTGTTATGCTGTCTCATGTGCAAAAGACATCTCTGCTGCCTTCCAAAATTCCTTATTGGAACAGATACCTGTGTATTTATGGGCCATACCATCAACCGAGTACACTCCTAATAAAAATCCAGATTGACCCCCTTGCCTAATATCAAACAGTATCTCTTTAGTCAATTTGCCTGACAATGCATAAAACCCATAACTGAAAAATACAAGACTCAAAGTTTAATAATTCCTTGTGCTAGTCTCTGTAAAACTCCCGTTCTCCCAATAAGAAAACCTAAGAGCCAAGGATGAAGATGTGTTCAAGATAAATAATATCATCATTTCCCATCATCCCATAGTTCCAAATTTGCACACTTTGCTGACATGAATACCAACTGATAGTACATTTTTTCACTGTAATTAACCTCTGCAGTTCCTTCTTTAGCTTCTTGTTGATTAAGGCCATCAATACAAATTTGCCTTCACCTGGGTGAAATTGTAATATACCTGGGTGGTCATGCCTTAGGGATATACTGAAAATCCTTTTTACATCTCCCAAGTTCTGAATGCTGATTTAGGAGATGTGGCTTTTTTCCTAAAACTTGTCTTCATTACATTATGTCGATGAGTTATTTCTTTGTTCTTCCTCATAGGCAAGACTGCAAGGAAGACAATCACCTCCAAGGGTCACATGGTTTCTAAAGAAAAACTACAACTAGTTAAGTCCCAAGCTAAATATCTGGGTCATCTGATTTCAGAAACAGAGCTGCATTTGGATCCTGAACAACTACAAGGTGTTCTACAATTCTGTAAGCCCAAACTAAAATAACAACTTTGAGGGCTTTTTGGATTCACTGGATGGGATACTGCCATTAACTGGATACCAAACTTCTCTTTGACTGTCTGATCCCTGCATGTCCTACTTAAAACCTCTCAACCTGATACCATTATATGGAAAAAATCTGAAGATACTGATTTTTTAAACTTAAATGAAGGGCTTTTAGATACCCCTGCCCTAGACACCCTAATTATCAACTTTGTTTTCCTTTTTGTTTATGAATAGAAAGGAAATGCCTTGGACATCCTAACCCAGAAACATGAATTTCAGCACCACCCCCTTGGAGATTACAGCCGGCAACTACAGCCAGTAGTAGCTTGAGAATTACTCTCTTGTTTGCAAGCAATTCCAGCTACCACCCTATTAATTAACTCCCACTAAATAAATTATCATGAAATCTCACTTAAGCATTTTTGTTCCCCACACTACGGAATCTCTTCTAAATTCACATCACACCCAGCATTTCTCTGCCAGTCACCTTCTGTCTTATGAACTGCTTTTATAAGCTTCTCCTCACACGACTCTTTTTCAATGTAATAATCTCAACCCTGCTACCCTTTTGCCTCCTCCTTTTGGTGAGAGCCCCAACCGCTACCCCATGACTATTGGACACTTTCTGACTCTTCAGAAAGATTTAGAAGAAACTCCACTAGATAATTCTGAACTATTATGGTTTACAGATGAACGATATTTAAAAGATGACAGTGGTGAATACTATACAGGTTATGCAGTACTACTTCCTTTGAAGTCATTGAAGATGCTCCCTTACCTATGGCTACTTCTGCCCAACAGACAGAACTTTTTGCTGTTGCTCAGCTTTGCCTCCTTGCTAAAAGAAATGTACATATATATAAAAATATATGTATATATAAAATAAATATATAAAATATATGTTATATATAAAATATATATACACACATATAATATATATATATACACACACACAGACAGTAGATAGGCTTTTGGGGTTGCTCAGGATTGTGGAATGCTCTGGAAATAATGGAGTTTCCTCACTTCCACTAAGGATCAAATTAAAGATGGATTCTATGTACAGGACTTCCTGAATACCATCCAGGTCCCAGACGCCTTGGCTATTACCAGAACTCCAGACATTCCAGGTTAGACTCTATGGAAGCTAGAAGAAACAACCTTGTTAATAATGCTGTAAAGAATGATGCTATTAAAGTTTGATTTAATCAAATCTCTATTGTGGCCCCACTAAAAGAGCCCTCAAAAGATGACTGAAAAATAATTACGAAAGACTCACAAAATGGGCACCAGAAGCTGAAAAGGAAAGATCATTGCTGCTGGTTTGATGACAAAAAAGAACTATGGTTTGAACCTGATAGTAAATTAGTTTTCCCAAATTTAGTAAAATATTCTTTGTTAACCAAAGAACATAATTTGACTCACTAAGCAATTAACAAATTAATTTCTTTCAAAAAACAGTATTGGTGGGGTGACATTTAAAAGGCTGCAAAACATGCCTGTTTGCCTTGCACCACCTGCACTAAGTTTAATCTAGGAAAACCCATATGTACAAATCCTGGACATTTTAGTTGACCTAATGGGCCTTTCAAGGTTTGGCAAATGGATTTCACCCAACTACCTCTTCCCATGGATATATATTTATATACACTAGTAAAGGCTTGCGTGTTCTCTCATTGGATAGAGGCTTTTTCTTGTAGATAAGCCAGTGCTTCAGTTATGGCCAAAATTCCTCTGGAACAAATTATTCCACCCAGGGAACTCCTCTTGAACTACAAAGTGATTGGAGATCCCGTTTTCCTGGCCATGTAATAAAACAAGTGTGTTCAGTTTGGACAACTTCATAGCATTTCCATTGCGCCTACTATCCCCAATCTTCTGGCCCAGTAGGACGAACAAATGGAACTCTATAAACCCAGTTGGAAAGATTTATGGAAACTCTACACCTTCCTTGGCCTAAAGTTCTTTCTTTGGTATTGTTAAATCTAAAGGTCACTTTTTGGGGGGGCGGATAAGCTTTCACCTTTTTAAACTGTCACAGGCCATCCTATGCACTTGGTTCCTTCTGCTTTTGACAATCAATGAAAGGAGACATACTTCAATATTGTAAAGGCATTATTAAAGCAATGAATGGCAATCATACTTTGATAGAACCTCTTTCCACAGCACAGTCCCAGGAAACAAAGACCTAAAATACCAAGATCTGCAGCCTGGCAACTTGGTCTACTGGAAAAGACACCTACATAAGAATTCTCTCCAGCCTCACCGGAAGGCCCATAACCAGTCCTTCTCACCAATCTCTGTGCTGCTAAACTAAAAGGCATTGACTCCTGGATCCACATCTCTCATTTTAAAAGATTTCTACTTCTCACTGAACCAGCACCCAAACAGGGAATTTAAAACTAAATTCCCTTCATCAGTGACATAAAGCAGATTCTATCTGTAGTGGACTGTGGACTAGGTCAGTATACCACTTAAAAAAAATATTTGGTCTCTTCTTACATGCCTACATTTTCCTGGAAAGATAATGCCCTAGTGCACATTTTCTAGTCTAATGCCAAAGGTGGAAATGTAACTGTTGGATCTGTCACTCAAAACTCTGATCTGTTCATGAGGCAAGTGCACTTTTAGTTTACCACATAACAGATTTCACTCATGTTACTAATGTAACTGTTTGTTCAAGTTGTGCATCTGGTCCTTTTTATAAAGTCAAACTTTCAGACTCACATGTTCAGATTCCCTATTTTACCCTAACAGAGCTGTCTGTAGAAACTACTTTGAAAATGGATTTAAAAATTATAAAAGTTAGAACTTAAAAACTTGTAAAAATATTTCTGATCCAAATTCTTTAATTGTTCGTGGTTTGCAACAATGTAATAACATGATAGTAAGACCTTGAATAACTATTGCTGATACTTCTCTATGAATACTCTACATGGGATTGCCTGCTGCGCCTCAATAGGATACGTTTTTATTTATGGGGGATTTGGTAATCAATCGTATGCACAGGCAATATCACACCTCAATAAATGGAAAGGAGAAGGCCAAAGTGGCTTAGGGTATTTCTGGATTCAAATTAAGTTAACAAATTTTGAACATTGTTGACACCTATTACCTTATGCTTTAATATTAACAGAGATACCCTCCTAGAAGGCATACATCCAGTCTGATGGGTCTCAGTTGCCAGAGTTTTTCTGCTTTGTATCAGCTGTTTAGAAACAATGGTTGGAAACCTATGCTTAACAATTGGAGCTGACTCTAGAGCTAAGGTCATTGTGACCCAACAAATTTCCCTAGATTTTCTAGCTAAAGTAGTGTTAGTTAACAGAATTGCTTTAGATTACTTACTAGCTACGCTAGTGTTTGTGCAATAGCTAACTTAATTAAGTAGAAACACAATTACACAAGATAAAAAAATGGCTTCAACAATTCTCACCAGATACTTCTGGACTTTTTGATCTGTTTAGTTGGTTACTTTCAAAATTAGGTCATGGTTTAGAACTATTATTCAAACTGGATTTTTTATACTGTTGCTGATTTTTTTTTTTTTTGTATTATGATTTTTAAAGCTTTGTCCTTATTGCCTGTCTAATCTTTGTAAAGCCAACTCTTCCAACAGGATAATGCTACCTCAATACCTGAAGATGATTGTTGATGCCTAAGGGACTGATAAGATAGAGCTTGATACTGTACTCCAAAAAGACCTTTCCTGAGGACATATTTCATTCTGGCTTCTTTGTTACTCAACGTGGTCCATGTCTCTGATATAGATCCCTGTCCTTTTTCACTGATGTGGGACAGAGAAAACTGGGACAGGTCCATCTTGGCACAGAGGGACAGTTAAGCTTAATTGCAAAATAGTTGATTACTGATAGCTGCAAAGAAAGAACTTGAACAAAAGGGAGAAATGGGCCAAACACAGTGGTTCATACCTGTAATCCCAGAATTTTGGGAGGCTGAGGCAGGAAGATCTCTTGAGGCTAGGAGTCTGAGATCAGCCTGGGAACATAGTAAGATCCTGTCTCCACAAAAAATAAAAATAAAAAATTAGTCTGGCATGGAGGCATGTACCTGTAGTCCTAGGTATTCAGGAGGCTGAGGCAGGAGGATCACTTGAGCTCAGGAGATAAAGGCTGCAGTGAGCCGTGATGGCGTCACTGCACTTCAGCCAGGGTGAAAGAGCCAGACACTGTCTGAAAAAAAAAAAAAGGAAGAGAAATATGAAAGTTTGACCCCAATCGGAAGGAACAGGAGAAATAGCACTCAGGTACATAACATTGCTCTAGAAATATAATTCTCCACAAGTGCTATGCAAGTCTGGCTGCTGAAACTGCCTGTTGTAACCTGAGACCAGTTTGCTCTACAGCTGCTGAGATAACTTGCTGCAACTCTAGAACTAGTTTTGTCCACTACCATCGCCCACCCAGCAGATCTTGCCAGCTCCCCAAAACTTTAATAACACAAAAGAACCTTCTCTCAGCCGCGCACATAACATTCTTCTTTTGTATAAAACCCCCAACCTTCTCTTTGTACTTCAGACATACTGAAGACCACCTGGTCTGCCTGTATGTCCAAACTGCAACTATTTCTTCCCAAATAAAATGTGAAATTTAGACAGTCATCTCTACATTTTTATGTTGACTCCAACAATATCATTATAGATCTGCCAATTCTGACGTCTGACATAGCTGAGGAACTTTCATGTTTATGATAAAAAATTCTCCCCTCTTTTGAAATCAGGTTTGAATTAAATTTTTGATTATTTATCACATAAGCAGCCTTAATGTTTTTTCTATTATCCTGACATGTAATTTTTTACCTTTTTAATATCCAGAGGTCCTCAGAATCTTGAAGGGCAGAGGCCTCTCTCAGTCTTTGAGTGCCCTGATTCAATCTAATGATTGCTGCCCACTGCAGCTCGATCCAGTCCACGTTTCCTGGTGAGTCAGAGGTCTGAGCTCAGTAGAGTGGTCCCCAGTTCTTAGGAACGGTTTAATGGGCTTAAGAGGCTGTGATACTGAGGATCCAATATCTTGGGTAAGACCAGTCCTCTGCTTTTCATTCTTAATTTCATCACAAAAATCAGGGTGAAACTCAAAAAGATCTAGGAATGACTGTTCTAGGGAATGACTGTTCTAGAGAATGACTGTTCTAGGGAAACACATTAGGTCCCAGTGGCTTTAGCTGTGGAGTCAACTGTAGAGCCAATCATTTAGGATAGGTTTCTAACTATTGTTTCTAAGTGATTGGCTGAACAATATATGACCCGGACATAAAATATGCTGGGTAAAATCTATTGTCCATTTTGTTTCTTTTGGGAAGTTCATCCTAAGTACTCAAGTTAACTTCAGAAGATCAATGATTCACACATGGCCAACTGTGCCCTGGGGGGACACTTGGCAGTGTCTGGAGGAAGCTGTTTTTTGGTTGTCACAACTAGGGGGAGATGTTACTGGTATTTAGTGGGTAGAGGCTGAGATGCTACTAAATAACCTATTAGGTTGGTGCAAAAGTTATTGCGGTTTTTACCATTACATTCAATGGCAAAATCACAATTACTGTTGCACCAACATAATATAATACACAGGACAACCCATAACAATAAATTTTCTAGCCCTAAACGTTGTTAATACCAACCTTAAATAAGGTAGTCTAGCTGCAATCATGTGTTACACTCCCTCTCAGTCTTCTATTTTCTCTCATGTGTGCTGGGTAAGCTGGGTGTTTACAATTATTTCTACTACTTCCTAGTTAAGGTTTTCATTTTTCTTTGTTATTTGGAGAAACAGATACGTTTCAAAATTGGCATGATAATTTTTCTCTGGTGAAGTTAGGTAATTTAAAAGGACTATTACCTAAGCAAGTGGGAGCAGGTTTTACTTAGCTGCTTCCCGACTCCTTGTAAAGTAAGTTTCTAAGTACTGCCATTAATGTTTACAAGGTGCTGCTCAGTTATTTTTTTTTATTATTATTTTTTAAAGATTCAACACTGTGTAAGATTTTTGCTGCTTTACAGGAGCTCACAATCTAGTAGTGGAATTGGGAAAAACATTGAAATTACTTTAGTACAAGGGAGCACCTCTCATGTATAATAAGTTACTGCTGGGGCCCAGAAAGATAATACCCCCAAATATGCTGCTTTGTCCTTCAAACTGAGAGCATCTGGGCAGCATCGCATGTAGGAAAGGGCTTTCTCTGAAGTTGCTCTGCCTGCCTTAAAGGCTGAGCCCTCCAGAAGCTCAACTGTTGTAAATCCCTTTCCCAGAGAGTTCATCAACCAGGAGGGAGGATGACACGTGACAGGAAGAAAGAGCAGAGTTGACGCCACACCAGAGCCCAGACAGACTTTGTCCCATGCTGTGGTTGGTACTTTGGGCCCATTCATCTCCCCTAAAAAGTATTTATTCTTCCTCTACAATTGCCTTCATTTCCTACTTCCTTTTCCCCTATGAAGGAGGATACAAGCTTCGAAATCTCATTGGGTTATTGGGTCCTCACTCTCCTGAGCTGCTCCCATGCATGTAATGTATTTATATGCCTTTTCTCCTGTTAATCTGTCTGTTGTCTGTTTATTTCTCAAATACTGAACCCCCATAGAGGAGAGAATTCTCTTGCCCTAATGTCACCTACTCCTGGGGCGAATGAACACTGCTGGACAAACATAACTACTCTCAAGGGCCACTCCCAGCTTGCCATTTTCCTCTGGTGGCATCTCTAGGACCACAGACTTCTTCAGTGCTCTTAGAAGCTAACAGGCAACTGCCTGTGGTGAGGCTGCCAGCTTTAATCATTCAGCTTCCCCTGTGCAAAGACAGCGAGGAGAAAAACGCAGCTCAGCAAGGCTGAGAGGGCATGAAATTGTGTTAAGCAGCATTCATGACAATGACTGGATTTGCTATTTTAAAGTAAGTGACTAAATGTTTTTTTTTTTTTTTTGAAATTGTAATTTTCCTGTGCTGTTAAGTGTAAAGGTGACCGCTCTGTGGTGGGCTCTTGGCAGTTTGTGCTCGACAGCTAATCAGGTTGATTCATTTGGTGAGGTAGGCAGTAAGCTCAGTGATAAAGCAGAATTGAGTTCTTACCTCTCTGAGATATAACACCACACATTTTTTTTTCTTTCTGCTTTTTGAAGGAAAGAAATAGTCATGCAGACTTTTCAGAAGGACGTTGTGAAGACACAACGAGGTTTTATATGTGTAGCAGGAAACATAATCATCCGTGGAACAAAACTGGCTCCCTTATTGAGTTTGCTAGCAGCCTTTCAATAAATGATTTAGGCAGCTATCACTAATGGGAGCTGGAGGTTTTGGTAGGGACCATCCTGGGCTTATTTTAGCTCAATCTCAGGGCTTCTGAAGTGTAAAATGCACATTTACCTGCTGCTAATTACATCAGAGCTGACCAGAGGCAAGTTAGCAATGGCTCAGTATTACCCAATTTCCCCACAGGATGGCATCCACCAGTTAAAAACAAAATTTATAGTATTAGCAGAATTCATAAAAATAGAGATGGATTAAATTTTCTATTAGGCTTTGCGATGTTTAGGGTTTATTTTGATACACACTCTAACTTGATCATAGTGAGCTAGGGCGGTGTGAGTGCTTGCCAGGAGCTGGCACAGACGCAGAGATGGAATTTGTGGTATGTGCAAAGGGAGAAAAGGACTCATGCTAAGAATGGAGTTGCTACAAATAAAGCTTAGCTTCTAAGATCCCCTGATCACCAGAGGGCCATTTACGGAACTAATTTTTTTCCTTCATCAGAAGATTAGCGAGTTTCAAGAGATCAAATCAGAACAAGCAGAGCCTCATGCCAAATTAAGGAAAAGCACAAGAAGATTTTGGGTTCTGGTTTGATGAAAACAGTGTTCTAATATTTCTAATATTTTATACCTGGAGAATAATAACAAATATAGTGTTTTAGCTACATGAACATAGAAATCACATAGGCCAATCCTGAATGTTGCAGAAAAAGTTCCAAAGAGAATGAGTAATTTTTCCAAGCCAGGACCAGAACAAAAGCAGTAGTTGCTCCATTATTCCTATTTAGGGAGGAGTTAGCCAGTGGGAAGGTGAATGAAGAAGCTTGGTTTGTGTGCCTAGCAAAAATATTTTCAAAATTATCTTTATGTTGCAGACCCATATATATAGCAAAGTTTTCTAAAGATAATTTATTACTCTGAAAGATGGAGAAATGCTAATTGTTCACATTAAAGGATGTTGTTATTACTAACAACACTTTGGGCAGTTTAACAGGGTGGTAGAAATTGGGTAGAGGCACTAATACTCCCTCAGGCTGCGCTGGGAATAGAAGGATCTCCATCTTCTGACCCTTCCTGAGATCCCGCCCAACTGTGGGATGTTTCCCTGCACCGCTTCCTGTCCCATCCAGGGAAGAACTGCTGTGTTCTCTGGAGATTATCTCCCTTTGTCCACCTTTTGAGACTCTTTCTGTGAGCCTTCTGTCCTGTCCATCAAATCTTGGAGGCCTTTTAATGGCTAAGCCTGTCAAGCACACTTCCACATGACTTTGGAAAGGACACTTAAGTACTCTTGGGGGAATGAGTCCCTCATTAGGGAAAGTAAAATCACAGTTCGTTTTTTTCCACTACCAACTGCCAATTCTTTTCAGTTACAGTGTCTGTGAGTTTCACTATTGCATGTGGACAAATGCACCTCACTTTGTGTTCATGTACATTAGAGGCATCTACTATAAAGCTTCTAGAAGGTGAGGATGCTGTTTGCTCACGTAGGTCTTGCAAGTGTAGGCAATTTATTTTTAAAAATGCAAAACAAACAAACAAACGGAAAGAAACTCCTAATTATACCATCTTGCATCTGAAGAATCCTTAGGCACTACTCCCAGTTGCAGATACAGCAGACTGCATCTGGCTTATTAAGGAAGACACTTCTGGGGGACTTGCTTAAAATAGTGATAACTACAACCCATCCATGGGAATGCTGATTTACACTGGGCCTGAGAATCTGCATTTTATCCTGTCCCTCCCTGAACTCGGTAATTTTGAAAGGTGTAGGTCAACTGAATCTTAAACCAATCCAGGAACCCTCTGTGCATCTGCAACCACATTGACTGTGACAACATTTAAATTTACCTATCCTATTTCTTGATTGGAAACTGTCAAAATCTTTCTATACATGCATGTCTGTCCTATTTGTGTATTTCAGTACTGGCCAAAGGAATCTGTGAACATAGTGTGTTTTCAATCACTCTAGAGTCCAGTGTTGAAGAATGTTGAAAAATATTGTGTGTTGCGAAAGCACAGAAACCCCCAATCTTTTCAGCTGCCAACATTTGTGTATTTTTAAAAGAACATTGCTACCCATGTTTTGAAAGTGGCATATGTCACATCCAAGCAGACCCTGGACATATCTTAGGTGTGATTATGGACAAAGAGTGAAATCTCCTCAGGCCATGGTGGCAACGCCTTCATCTTCCAGAGCCCGCGAGTTCTTTGATGACATTCTGTTTGACAAAGAAGCAGGGGGAAAAAGCGTCCCAGTCTTTTTTCTGTTGCTTTTTTCTTTGCTATGATCAGTATGTAAAACCCCGGGCTTGAAAAGGACTTTGACATCTTTGTTAGTAAACAAACAGAGCAGTTATAATGCTTTTGACAAGAGGGTAGGGAGGACTGTGCTCTGGCAGCCTTTCTCCTTTTCTCCCGCTTCTCCTCCTCTAACTTGACAAGCGGATTGCAGAGGCCAGTGAAAACACTCGTGTCTCTTTCAGGTTGAGAGCATTTGTTAGGCATCTGTGAGGGTTGCTTTCTTGCTGTTGGGTGTCAAGTCACGCAATATGAGAAGAGGGAGTCTTCCACTGCTCAGCCATTCTTTCCCGTGAAAGGAGCACTGACGAGCTAGCCAGTGGCTCAATTAAAAACTGAAGGAAGCATTCACCGTGCGGGACACCAGCTTACTTTACTGACTGTGGTGTTATTAGCGAGACTGACAGGGGCAGCCGGGAGGGGCTGCAGTGGCTGAGAGGAAAGGGAGGCAGAGTTCTTGTTTCCTCTTGTTTTCTCACTGTTGCTGGCAAGTTGTTGATCTTGAAAATGAGCAACCTCCTCACAGCCTATTTTCCAGATTTTGTTAATATTTAAAATGATTTTGAGAGAAATGCATGAAATGAAACATGTCATAATATGTAAAGTCATACAGATTTCACAACTTACCTCCAGCCTATGCATTTTAGTTGTTCTATTCAGGGTTTACTGCTCAAAACCCCCAGGTCCTTAAACTTCTGCAGCTGTTGCCTTTGGTTATTTCTTGGTGTTCTCAGGAAGTACCTTACACGTGCTCATTAACAGATTCCATCACAGCTGAACACCACGGCACCCACCTTTTCTGCAGAGCGTTCGCCTCCTTAGTGGGACATCAGTGTCAGCCTCGTGTTCTGTCACTGCTTCCAGACATTGGCATTGACTTACTCATGGGTCTGTCCTATCCAAAGTCAGGAGAATGTCTTTTTCTCCTTATTTTGAACCATACTTTTGTGCTGGGGACACAGTGGGCAGTTTGGCCCATGTTTCACAAAGCCCCTGTTGAAACCAGATTTGTCATCATTTCCCTTGGGACGGAGGCTCCTGATTCTTCCAAGACCCCTCTTGGCTTTGCCCAATGGGTCTTTGGGCCACAACAGTTGAGACTTGACAGAAAAAAATATGAAATTCCAGGCATTGAAAACCCAAATGAAAGGAGAACCAGAATCTTCTAGTACAGGCAGAACTCATTATTATGACTTGTCAATGTTACAAAGACATTATTAATAGTTGTCTTTGTAACATTTGAGGTTTCAGGATGGCAGAAGAGAACTGTAAATCTTGTCCTCTCAACCTAGGTCTATTAGCCACTGCCTTGTAGTTTTTGTCCTCCTGACAATTCAGACTTGAGAGAAGAGACCAGTGGTGACAAATATACATTTCCTTAGTTCACAGGAAATAGATACAAGACTGTTTAAAGAACATAGACAATCGGTAGCTTCCATGAGTCTGTTAGCTTTTGCTGCATAGCAAGCCAGCCTGAAATTAATGTCTTAAATAAAGAAGTATTTACTTATGGTTTTTTTGCAGGTCAACAACTTGGGTTGGCTCAGCAGGGAGGTTCTTCTAATCTTAGCTGGGTGCACGCAGGTGTGTGTGATCTGCTGCTGGGTTATCTGGGGACTGACTCATCTAGGATAACTTCTGCTGCTATGGCTCATTTCTGCTCCAGGTGGTCTCCCATTCCCCAATGAGCTTACCAGTGGTTGTTTTTTGTTTGTTTGTTTTGTTTTTTTCTCCCATGGTGTCTGGTTAGGATTCTAAGAGAAATTGAGGAAGCATGCAAGACTTCCTGAGGCCTAGGCCTGGAATTGACACATCATTACTTCTGCTGCATGCTATCGGCCAAAGCAGATCCATAGTCTGGTACAAACACAAGAGGAGGAGAAACTGGTTCCATTCTTTTTATTTTATTATTATTATTATTATTATTTGGTGCAGTCTTGCTCTTTTGCCCAGGCTGGAGTGCAGTGGTGTGATCTCAGCTCACCGCAACCTCCATCTCCTGGGTTCAAGTGACTCTCCTGCCTCAGCCTCCCAAGTGGCTGGGATTACAGGCTAATTGTTTTGTATTTTTAGTAGAAACCAGGTTTCACCATGTTGGCCGGGCTGGTGTCAAACTACTGACCTCAAGAGATCCACCCACCTCGACCTCCCAAAGTGCTGGGATTACAGGTGTGAGCCACCACGTCCGGCTGGTCCCATTCTTGATGGAAGAAAGTGCAAATTCAATCACAAAGCATGTGGATTTGGAGTGGAGTGAAAGATTATGTCATTTTTGCATTTTACCCCAAGATATATCTAAATACAAATCCATATAATATTTCTGTGGATTTTTCTTTTGTTGTT